ATGCATTGCGGTCGCAGTGCGCACACCGCCTGCATTTGGGCCGAAAGTGGCGCATTTTCCCCGTGCGCGTAATACAAATTAATACAAAATTTGCAAATATAGGGTTATATTTTCCGCATTTTACCATTTCCCTGCCAAACTTTGCAATTTTACTAATTGTAACATGCTCTTTCTAGCTGTGGTGTTGGATTTTGTTCTTCGTCTTCTTCTTGCCTAGATCAAAATTTAGTCTATAGCTGGAATCATCTATTGGACTGGAATTCTCGCTCTAGTATATATGGAGCTCTTTGGTACGAGATTGCCCGCATGCCTGACGTCTGCATGTTTTTGGTTCAAAAAGTTAAGCAACTTCTGTGGAGAAGAGAATGCCCCTATCACACTGAGGTAAAAAAATTGACACAACAAGAAATACGATTTTCATATATATATGTTATTTACCGGATTGGAGGTCCGTATAGAGAAATATTTCTCGAGGTCCTAAAAACGGCCCGAGGCCGAAGGCCGAGGGACGTTTTTAAGACCGAGAGAAATATTTCTCTATACGGACCGACCATACCGGTATATAATTTTTATTTATTTTTAATTCCTCCTCTGGATTTCCCCCAATCGCTCCTCCCGCACGCGAATGAAGCTGCCAAATAAAACGTCGTTTCTATCAATGCTATCGGGAAGAGAAATATCTTTTGTGAGATAGTAAAATTCGTTTTCACTGTGTTTTTCATCGTCTGCAGACATTTTAATGTTTTAAAAAGTAGCCTTTAAACTCGTCTTTAAATTTTGAAAAATAAAAACATTGGCTCTACGGCTTTAAATCTCGCGCGGTCCGTACGGGCTCATACGGACCGCTCACGTAGCCAATCAGATTGCAGAAAAGCGTAAAATATGACTTCGGACCGCAAGAAAAAAAAATAAATATGATTATTTCTGTCTTCAAAATTCATCAACGTGACATTTAAATCAATGCAAAACAAGCATTTAAGTTATTATGTACAAACAGCAGGTTAGGAAATTATCGATTCACAGATCTGAAAAAATCCTGGGGATTTTTTTCCTTTTACACACCTCGACATGCACATACTTTTTTTAAATCTTGAGAAATCATATTCTTTGTACAGTCAAGTATAAATTACCATTGTTTTCACGCAAAAAGGCTGCCAGGAATATTAAATACATTTTTTCAAGTCTGCCCATGCAATGCATAGATATCTGCTGTATACACTAGATAGCGCATCACTTTTAGTAAAATTGAAGCCAAGAATATTCCAGCGGTTACCCCCATTTGAATAGATGGCGGCCATGTTGGAGTTTCCCACTCGCTAATAAACGCTTAAAAACAACAATAACTTTCATCATTTGAATAGTTTGAAAATGTATTTGGAATAGGTTTAACTTAATGTTTAAGTTCCATGTTTAAGTATAGAAACGACATACGAGTCTTCTCATTTCATGGGAATATCCTGAGTCTGCAATCACGGCTTCAATTTTTGAATTGCAGAATAATTAGATGCACTATCTAATGTATATAAGATCTCTATGATGCAATGACGCATTCTAAGAAGCTACAGAAAAGCCTTCATACAGACAAGCAAGTTTTCCTTGATAAAGTTTTACTGCCCAAAGGTGTACCGTTGTCTTGCCAACTTTTAAACAACAAAAATTTTTCTGGTGTAGTATAGAACCATCAAAGAAAACCTGACAAGTGTTTGCGCAGTTCGTCACTGCGAGTACTGCGCGCTAATCTTTGAGTGGCCATTGCCATTAAATCTATAGTTTATTTTGAAATTAGCTTTTGAAGTGTTATATAAGAAAATTTCTACATCTGCACGGGGTAAATACGTGTTTACTGACATGACAGTGTAGTAACGAGTCGAGTCTTTGACTAAGATTGAGTGGCTATTTTCAGTGACTCGAGTCCAAGACGGAAAATAGATAACAGTTAAGGTATACGACGTCGACGTCAGCTAAAAGGGAGCTTAAGCATGTAGGACGGCAACACGACGACGACGGCAACCAATACAATGAGTCAATGAAAAGAAATAAATAATTAAAGTCCCAGGGGAGTTTCAGACGTAGTCCTCGCTCTGTTTACAACGGCAAATCACAGATTGTCACGTCTTTTATACAACGCCTGTATTTCAAGCCGTAACAAGTGCAACTTAAAATTCGGTTCAGTAGAACTCTTCCCAAACATAAAGCCAATGTTTTCAACGTCTTATATTGTACTAAATACGAATTATAATATACGACAAGTTTTCTTTATACTATCATTTATTTAAAGGTATTTGTTTTGGCCGTCGTCGTCGTGTTGCCGTCCTACAACGGCGATCTCGGGTCCACAAAACACACTGTTTCCCTCGGTCTCAGTAAATAAGTGTTTTGTTATATAGTATATAAGTGTCAAAGTATGAGTAATTCACCGGTTATTGGAGTGAACTTAATTTGAAACCAAAACTGGATAAATGGAACGCCGTAAATGTTTAGTAAAAAGTTTAAAAAATGAGCTTTGGAACTTCGCGGTTGAGACGCCTGCGTATTGCACCCATTTTGTTATTGACCTGTCAATAAATGTTTGATTGCGGACCGGTTGCCGAACATGACGTTTTGTGGACCGGCACGTGACACGGTTTTGACCAATCGGCAAACAGAAAAATTGAACTTTGACACTAACTATATATATATATATATATATATATATATATAACTACAGACGGTACCGTTTCGGCCTAATGGGCCTCATCAGTGTAGTGCTGATGAGCAGGATGAAAGTAACTCTTATTTATAGTTACCTTTGATGCCTCAATATATATATATATATATATATATATATATATATATATATATATATATATATATATATATATATATATATATATATATATATATATATATATATATATAACAATCTGGTTTGGATGATGACCTTGTGGTCGAGTTGGTAATTATTTGTGGTCTATGAGTTGGTTATTTTACGATGTATGATATTGCGCTTGGGCCTTTGCAATTTTTGGCAATTCATGTAATATTAATGAAAAGTGTAATAGCATTGAAAATATTGTACCATACAACTGTGCTGCGTGTTTGAGCATTTTTTTCCGTGCACCTACTAAATATGATTCGGTAAAAATTTTTTAAAAAATCCACCCCGGCACGGGTTTTTTCTGCTGCCACTGATAATAAACCGGGATATTTTTTTACATGACCTTAGGGTACATTTTTGCGCTAAAAATTATACGGATGTTTATAACGACCGCTATAAAGACTTCATTTTTTTGTTTTTTCTAAAAATGGCAAATTTTGGGTAGAAGACCACCCAAACACGAAGCTGGCTTCACTTTTTGGACTGGAATTCTCGCTTCAGATACTATGGAGGTCACTGGTACGTACGAGTACTCACAACAAGAAAAATCTGTGAAAATCTCACAAAAACCGGGGATTGGGGGAAATGCCTTTTATTACACATACTTTTTGGAAATCTTAAGAAACCGTACTGTATGCAGTGAAGCATACTTTACCTTGTTATACATCTGATAGTGGCGCAATTAATTTACGGTCAAATTACCGTTGTTTCCACGTAAAAAAGGCTCCCAGAAATATTACAGGTAGACTACGTCAAGCGTTCCTCTTTTGAATTCCTAACTTGATTGCAAATTTCCATATTACCTTTGCAATTTTGAAAAACTCACTTGCAAATCCCTAGAGGGAATTTACAATGTTCCTAAAAGCCAATTATATTTTGCTCAGTTCCTGCTGAAGTTCTTTGCTTCCTGTTACAACTTCCTGTTAATGTGCGTTGTAATAAATAATCCACCAACGACAACGCTCAGTACAGAACAGGAAGTGAGAAAATTAAAACAGGAAGTTAGGAAAATTTAAAGGACGTTTCTCTGCATTGGAATAAGGAACATTGCAAATTTCTTTCAAATTTGCAAAGGTAATGAGGAAACTTGCAATCAAGTTAGGAACTCAAAAGAGGACGCTTAACGTAGTTTACCAATACACTCTTTTTTCAAGTCTGCCTTTGCATAGCTATATCGAAGTGAAGATGGCTATGAAACTCATTAGAATAACAATATAACTCATTATCTATGTTAGTCAACGTTTATTCGTATAAATCTGGTCTTCACCGTCACGTGCGTATTGTATTTTTGCCCAACTAACCAATAGCATTTGTTTAGAAAAGTTACCTATCCGTGACTCGAACAATAGGGTAAAATGGAAATTGCTATTGGTGAGCTTGGCAAAAATACAATACACACGTGACGGTGAAGGACCATATTTAAAAATTAAACGTTGACTAACATTGATGAGTTATATTGTTATTCTAATATATGAGTTTCACAGCCATCTTCCCTTCGACAGGCTATGGCCTTTGCAATGACACATTCTAAGAAGTTACAGTAAAACCGCTGTTCCGATGAGTAAGTTTTCCTTCACAAGTTTTCCTTGACAAATTTTACACACTTTTCCTCGACCAGCTGGTAGCCTTGTTCAAAAGCCTGTCGTGCGAATGTTCGTGTGTAGGCCCATCAAGGACAGGTTTTCATGACCCACCCAATCTAAATTGGGAAAATACGATAAAAAAACAACTTGCAGACCATGAACATTGTAAGTATACACGGCACTGTATTGACGCACATAATTCCACCAAGCTTGAGCAACACATTGATACTGCGCTGCTCTCCAGTTGGTTGTATTTGCTGTGATTCGACCACTTCTTGTTGTATAAACAAAGTACTGGCTTCAATAGCATCATTTGCATTTGATAATTTGGATAGTTTTGTTTACTTTTATTATTAATATCTTTATATTTTTTGAAGTAGACATGCATGGGTTTTTGTTTGGTGGCCCAACCGTTGACGTACAAAAAAATTGGTAGCCCATCGCAACTGCCCAAAGATTTTCCATGGCCCATCCCAAATCACTCCAGCCCACCCTAGCAGTTACTTTATGACCGGTCCCTTAATTTTAAAACATCTAATTTGATTAATGAAAGAAATAAGTTAAAAAACTCTTAAGTGCTATATAATTCATATAGATTAACTTTATATCTCATTCCAAGGATACGTACGTTGGAATTAATGTACAATTTTAATAAGCTAATCTGGTTTCTCGTACGAAAACAAATTGTTCACGTTTTATTTTATTTCATTGCTATATGTAGATAAGGTCAATATCAGTAGTTTTCAATAAGCACTGTGCATGTCTGCACTAGTAAGCTTCTAAAAAAATCAGCGGTAGGCCACGACGATGCTTCTTTGACTTCCCCAGATTTTGACTATCTTGACTTGTCATATTATTGCCGACAAGCTGTAAGTTGGTAAGTTTACAATTTTTGTGTTTCAATGCATCACAGAGATGGTGTACGCCCATTTGACGTATCTCGTTAAAGGAAAGGTCCAGAGTAGTTAGTTTGCAATTTTCATCCTTTATTGCATCGCAAAGATGTTCCACGCCCGTATCGCCTAACTTGCTCGAGTAAAGATTTAGTTCAGTGAGTTGACAGTTCCCATTCTTTAATGCACGGAAGAGAATTTCAAAACCACGATCATTGATTTCATTATTACCGATAACTAGTTGCACGAGTTTACAGCTGTTCTCATCTGTGAGGGCGTGCGATAGACTCTCAGCACCTGCATCGCCTAGCTGGTTATTTGAAAGATCTAATTTTTTTAATGTGCAATTTTTATTCCTTAATGCATCCACTAGTGGTTCAATTTCGTGAACGGTTAAGTTATTCCCGTTAAGATATAGAGTAGTTAGCCTACATCTCCCTATTTTAAGTACATCACAGAGGCTTTTTATATCTTCATATTTGATGCTATTATTACTGAGGTTTAAATTGAGAAGTTTACAGTTGCCATGTTGTAGTGCTTGGCAAAGTGCGTTTACACCTGCACTTTTTAATTCATTTCCACCTAAATTTAGTTCAGTAATCATGCAATTACTATGAGTTAATGCTGTGCTAAAGGCTTCGGCACCGTCAACCGTCATTTTATTTCCCCTAAAGGATAAATTGGTTAGATTTAACTTTCTTCTCACAATTACATCACAGACACTTTTTATACCCTTAGCGGTTATTTTGTTTGAGTTCAGGAACAAATTGATTGGTCTACGGATTCTATTATTTAAATTATGACATATTATCTTAATACCTTTATCGCCTAGTGAAGTGTTAGTCAGATTTAAACTGGTAAGGTTGACATTTTTATCGATCAGCTTTGCAAGACCTAGGCAACCAAGATAAGAAATTTGATTGTACATGAGATTAAGCTTGTTTAAATTTCCAATTCGGACTAGAAATTGAAATAATGCGATACAATCGATTGGTGCAATATTTAAGCAACTTAAATTACATTCCTTCTTTCCTCCTCCGTCCATTTCCTTTGCACATAATTCCTCGATCTGAACATCTTGCATTTCATTCAAAAATTTGATAACAAGAATAGCCGTCCTTTTATAGTTCTCGTTTGCATTTTTAGCATTCTTGACTGGTGTTAAGAACCGAAACCACTGCAGAAAGCTACATAAACATGAAAGTCCTGTTAAGCCAAATGGGTCATTCCATTTCAAGTGAAACAGAGGTCTGAATCTCACTCCCTCAGAAAATTCTACAAAAAATATATGTTGTAATGGTATTTCTGTAAGGTACATGCCTAACAGAGTAACCTCCAGAGCCGTCGCTAGGAGGGTGTGTGTAGGTGTGACCCCCTTGTTGGCAAAGGCAAAATAACGGATTTGTCGGAAAAATAACGGATTTGTTGGCAAAATAACGGATTTGTCGGCAAAATAACGGATTTGTCAGCAAATTGTTTTCGTTGTCAGCGAAAATATTCGAATGGCTCGGATTAAAAGGATTAAAAAGTAATAGTTATAGCAAGAATTTTGATACATTTACGAAAACATTACCGAAAAATTTAACAAATTACGGTACGTTAACTCCCGGAAATATTTTTACCTTTTTGGATATACAGCATTACATTATACTGTAGTTGAGTTCTTGCATGGTATGTTCATGTAAACACCACAACACAATCACAAACTTGTTTAGCTTAGCCTTCCAACCACTCAAATCTATAAGGTATATGGGGCTATCCACTTGAAAGTTCTTACAGTGCGTCTACTGTAAGTAGGGCCACTTAGAGAACAGTAACCAATCGCATTGCAGAAGAAAAAGAAAAATCTAATCGAACTAAAGCTCGTCCAATCAAAAGAAAGATTCAGGAAGCCATTAACTGCAGTGTTTACTTTTACAAGTCTATTTTTACCGTTAGACATTCGTTTATTTGTTCAAATTGTTTTTGGCCTAATGCTGATTGGCTAATGCGCCGTTTGTTCATTTTTTCAATTTCTGTTCTGCAATGCGATTGGTTAGTGTTCTCTAAGTGGCCCCACTTACTGTAGACGCACTGTAAAATCCAAGGTATTTACAACACAATGTTTAGCATTTTAAAATGACATTGAATCATTTGAAGATAAGAGACGGCAACCTCGCAAGCAAGGGCCTCCACACCCGCGAGACGGGACATAAGCAAATTTCAGAAACCTCCCTTCCAAATTCCATTTTTCTTTGCCCTCCGCCCTCCCAGTTATATAGTCAAAATGGCCCAGCCTTGCCGCCCACTCTCCTCTGCAGTCTGCAACGCTACTTTCCAGCATTGTCATTGATTGAGCCATTGAGGTGGTCCAATCAGCATGTTCGACCACAGATATCTCATATATATCTATGGTTCGATCACGGTTCAGATACATTTTAAATCATAAAGTTTATATCGGCAGTTTATCACGTACTTATGCGTGACTGGACAGTTGCTATAGCACATGAGTACAGTAACTATTCCCTTATTGAAACAGTATATTTGAAAATGTGGCTGTATGTTTACATATTTAACCATGATATTTGACTAAAGTATTCCGTGATTGTCTCGTGGGCTCACAAATCAATTAAATTGTTTCAAGAAATCGACTTGCGCTGACAGTGTAGAAGTTCCGCTAATCGCTATTCGAAAGCAGAGAATATATATATATATGGTCAAACAGAGTTTTTATGGGTGTGCTGGACTCCTCTAGGTGGGTGCTAGACACTACTAGGTGAGGTGGGCACCCTTCTGCACTCCGTTCTTGTGTTGAAGAACGCGCTATTCAGTCATTTAATTAATGATGCAACTTGTCTGATTTCAAAATTGCCATTTGGTAAGATAAATCATTCAAAGATCGAAATGAAGTCATTTTGGAATGCCCATTAAAACTGAAATGACACATGCAATAACGGAAATGCCCTTTTGCAGTCAAATGCATATCTACTGTGATTAACTATCCCTATATCTGTGGGATTCTACCAACTATAGTTGCGGCTCCAGCGCTTTAAAAAGGTAAGGACAAAATGAGCGAGGTTAAATTTGTTTATGATTTTGTCAACGAATATAGACACTCGGTTGGTCAATTTGAGGTAGGAGTTTGAATATCTGCTCACTTATCTTACGCAACTAGTACTACAACATATATTTTTTGTAGAATTTTTTGAGGGGGTGCTCATGAACTTTAACTTAAAAAATTGCACAGCTCTAAAATGTCCACTAAACTGAAAATTCCGCAAAATTTGTAGCAACTTTATGTTAGTAGTCAAGTAGTTTGGGGTCTTCTGCATGTATCTGTCTTCGAGTAGTTAATATATTAGCAACAAAATATTGGCACCAAAACACAGAAAAGCAGGAGAAAAATGTTCCAAGGCTTGTTAAAGGTTGCATCTTCGTACCAAAGGCTTTTTTTTCTTTTCACGGTTGGGCATCACCAACAATTTTCCAGACGGTTTTTCGATTAAGCGCTGTGCTGTTGTGAATAAAGTGCGGCATTTATTCGAGGGCGGCGCACTTTAATAATTTTCCTGTCATAATATATGCTGTTTAATCAGGGGTGCCGCTCATTCGGGGTCGGCGCTTAAATAAGTAAATACGGTAATTTGGTGATAGAGATACCAGAAAACCTGAACTACCCATATATGCTAACATAAAGTTGTCATAAATTTTGATACAGCCTGTAGATATGAAAGCTCCTTTATACTACAGTCAGTGATTTTCTTCGTGTTTTCGTCATGCATGAATTATGAATTATTATGTAAGATTTACAATATTGCACATATTTCAGTATAGTAATAGTATTATTTCGATAAATTTCGAGTGCAATATTGATATATACACGAAAAAATACACGCTTCTAATTGCGTTCGACGAAGGAGAACGCTTCCTAATCGTGACGTCACGGCTGGATGCTGTGTCCTTTTGAGATTTTTTGGATGTAACATTTGCCTCGCTTTCGTGTTCATGGCATTTGCCTCGGTTTCCGGTTTCGTGCGGCGTCTTTGTGTTCCCATGTGCTTTCCATATTTTGCGAAGACAGAAGGAGATTTTAGCTGTTGTTTTGGGGTTTTTCCTGCGGTTTAATGTAAGGTAATCGGTGGTGTTGTGTTATTTTTATTACACTTATCAAAGGTACTTGCCAAAGCATCAAGAATTTGTCTTGTGGTGTTTTATCGACTGGCAATCCGACATTTCAATTTGCTATCTTTTTAAATTGTCAGCTACAGTTCACAGATTTAACTTGAGTTCGCTCTGCTTAATAAAGGGTTTGGATGCATGTCCAGTATATTCTCTTTGGTCATTGAATGTTGATGAAGTAAACGTTGTTAAGCATTTTAATTTGCAGAGCTGTGTTGAAAAATACGAGTTTTAATTAAGCATGACAATTGACAAATAAATACACAAATCCCAGTTTGGCTATAGTATACTAGGTGGACATACAAATATACAAATCCCAGTAATTTTGTTGACACAATGAACCTAATCAGTAATCATAATATTCATAGACAAGCAGAGCGAAGTTTTACTGACGAATTCAGCTGTATTTTTCATGAACATTTCTTGCCATGTTTGACCCGTGCTACCAATGAAATTTCTGATGCTTTTATAAATTAGTCAGTTGGAACCATTAACCTTTGTGTTTATATGGAAGCTGGGTTGGCCCGCTTAGTGAGACAGCCTGGTAAGCGGGATGAATTTCTATTTCTCTTGTGTTAACAATTTTATTGTTTTGACAGTTGTTAAAAATAGCTTGTGGCGGTATCTTTGAATTTTCATCCCTGGAACCGGGCTAGCCTGCTTATGAGTATTATATGGAGAAATTTCCATCCCGGTATGCGAGATCTCACCTCTTTCAAGTGAGATATCGGCAACCGGGCCATCCCGCTTGTATTCAGCAAATAATAACAGCAACTTGCATTGGAATATTTTGTTCGCTTATAGTGAATATAGTGCCATATAACTGTGAAAGTTCACCTGGTGACTGCTTTTTTGCATCCTCAGGACATGGTCTTTATAAAAATCCTAATTTGCCATCTTGATATTCGTAGTGCAGGCATTACACATTTAATGCATAATCCTGAGTTCTAAATAGAGGATATTACACGGCGACATGACGATATGACTTTTATCTTTGAGCGGTGAAAACAATATTTTATGAACGAGTTACGAACGAGTGCAGCGAGTGAGTAAAATATTGTTTTTAACACGAGAGGATAAAAGTTGTATCTTCAAGCCACCGTGTAATGTTCTGTTTATTATATAGTCCCAAGCAAAAAAATGTATAAATACTAAGTCACGTGATCGATATCTTCACTAGTGAAGATATGGGTATCTTCACTAGTGAAGATATGGGAAATATCTCACTGTGTATTTTTTTGTATCTTACTCTCTACTATACTGTATAATAAATTGAAAATATTTTATGGGAAAATTATGTTGAAGAAATGTCACAACCTGGAACATGGTATCATTATCAAGCAGGAGCAAATGCTTTAAGCTGCACTATTCATATTACTGATTCCAGTCCAAATGCTAATGCAAACATTGTAAACCCTTTACACCACACCAGGGGCACAAAATTCTATTTAGTTGAGTTGCAAGGCCTATAAACTCAAACTGAAGAAATGCTCATACCTCGAGCTCGCCTATAATTAGGGTTTATATCATAAACCAGGCAGGCAAATGGGGGTATTCAGGGCATTGCATTAATTTGCCTTGAGCAACATGTTGAAGAGCTTGCATCAGTTTTGCCACGTCATCCCAGGGTCTATTATTATAGTTAAGATAAAGGGTAAAGATAACACATTTAAGGATATTAAGGTCAGAAGTAAGAAAAAGTGCAACATGCATTAATGCTATATAAATGCTAGGGCTTTTGAGAAATAATCTACATTATAGTAATGTGACTATCAATCAACATTGCCGTAGAATCACTCCCTATTGGTAGTGTTCCATCTGATATGACAGTTGAGTATGAAAATGATATTTGGACACATGAAGTAATATCGCCTGATTTACAGTAGGCCCTTCCAGTGATAACATTGAAGACAAAGTTAATGTACAGTGTGACAACAGAAATGAATAGCTTTATGTGCCTGCCAGCCTGTGAAAAACAGTAAAAGAGAAGTAGATGCAAGTAGATATTTGGACACATGAAATAATATCGCCTGATTTACAGTAGGCCCTTCCAGTGATAACATTGAAGACAAAGTTAATGTACAATGTGACAACAGAAATAAATAGCTTATGCCAGCCTGTGAAAAACAGTAAAGAGAAGTAGATGCAATAAAAAATCAGTTGTTTCCAAATGATGGCATCCGGCCCACTTTTGATAACTACCCTATGGTGCAATAATAACATTTTGGACAACGTCTACTCTACACCGAACCTCTGTGACCGAACGCACTTCACTAATCTAAGATTATTACTAGTAATAATACCTGCATGCGTTCTCACCTACGCCGTTTAATAATTAACCGTGCATTGTTTTCATTGCTTGTTAGCTAACTTTTTCAGCCAATGTGCTCCTTGTAATCAAGTTACATTATCAGCTTTATACATTGTAAAAACTGCTTACATGCAGTGCTGACATCTGCTGCCTTGTTTCCAGGCTCTGCTCTTGTTTTGTTAATTTGCGCCGCAGAAATCGCACATTCTTAGCTAATCAGAATCGAGTAATTTTTTCATGTATGTAGTTATTAGGATTGAAAATTGCGTACCTTCTGCTAATGCTATCCTTTGGCACATCTATTTCCTTCGTTCTAATTTTCTCTCCCAGCAAACCAGCAACAAATTGCACAACCAGATGCCAATTCGATTTTTCCAGGTAATCCTTCAGAGAACTAAGAAATGACGTGACATCACTGATATCTTTCATTTCGTCAACAATGTGGCAGGCAGCAAGAAATTCTTGCATGGTTATGTGGATGAAACTATAATACCCATCTGGCAACGGAGTAAGCAAACCACAGCTTATAATATTTTGGGAAACATCTTCAGCTTCGAGTTGAAAACTCTTTTCGCTGGATTCCAATTTGAATTTAGCTAGCCTTTTCAAGGTTTTCATAAAATTTTCTGGCGACGATGGTAATTTGGATGTCAAGTAAACTGTGGTACCAAATAATCCAAATGGCCTCTTGTACTTTTGCGTTTCCCAAATAATAACTCTAGTAGCTCTTTGATATAACTCAGTTATCGTTTTTGGAATTAAACTTGCAATATCTCTGCCAGGCTTCGGACAGTCGAAACATTCCTTTAAAGTTAGGCACACAAGGTCACAGACTTCAGGTATATAGCATAAATTCAAGAATTCTGGATTGTTTTTAATGGTTGTCCAAATCTGAGCACACACGTCCGTTTTGGATTGACAGAAGCCCTTTGCGTATTCTTTAATATCATGTTTAGAGAAGCCTAGCAGCTCCAACCTTCTTTGGAATTGTATCTTAAAATAGTTACAGATATATTCTGCATTATCACGCCTCGATGTTGTTATTATTTTAGCTCCGGGAAGCAATTTATCTTTCAGTAGTTTTATATAAATTGTAAACATGGACATGGGTTCTTCGTGGTCATCATCGGTCGTTTCTTCGTCCTGCTCTTGCAGAAAACTTTTACTATCAAGTTCAATGTCTTCCAAACCGTCAAAGATTAGCACAATTTTCTTCGGATTGGCTAAAATGAACTTGTAAAGTTCTTCGAAATTTGAACCAGATGGTATTCCCTTTCCTTGGCGCAACATCTTTTTCAGAATGGTTGTTTTATTTTTTCTAAAGCTTCGAAATCTGAGAAAGATTACGACTTTGTCTTCTAATAATTTACTTTTAGCCCATCTGTATAAGATAGCTTTTGCAACAGTGGTTTTGCCAATTCCAGCGCGGCCTATGATGAGAATTTTATCATAAGTTTTGAGGGTATCAGGATTGCTGATCTTATCGTTGGTAGCGGTATTACTGTTGGTAGTGGAGTAGGGGTTAGTGTTTTCGGATGGAAACAAATGAACCAAACGATTCTTTACCAAATCTCGATCTCCGTGCTCTAAATACACATTATAAATCTCGTGCCTTTGAAACCGTTTGCTTTCGATTTCTTCATGAATCAAAAACTGAAATTTCAAATCACCTAGCACATGCATACCTCGAAATTGGAGTCTTCGATCAGATCCGAAATTTACATTTAGAAAGCATTCATCTTCTCTTATTGTCTTTCGAATTCGTTTTAAAATTTGCTGGATCGTCAAGTCCCGTTTTTCGAGTAAATACATGCAACAAAATTCAATATCGCTTCCAAAATCGCTATCATGACGGTACCAATTCAGCAGATAAACAACTTCTATTATGGCAAGGGTAGCAATAAAACAATCGATACACAAAACTGAAGTAGCCAAAGTCTCAAACTTGTCTCCTAGTGGGTTTACACATTCTACATTGGTAAGGTTCCGAGATCGTTCGTTATGATTTGTTGCAGTTGACAGTTGAGATGTTTCTGGGGGCCATGGACACTGAAATTGTACCGGGAAATTAGCTGGGTGGATCAGTAGAATGAACAAGACAAGAGGAATCACACGACCAAGGAGTAAATGTACTATGTACAAAGGAAACACAAATATTCTTGCATCACGCGAACTCTCTAGCTGCCAGGATTCATATATATTTTCACTAGATTTCGTGTCAAATTTTTCCACCTTAGAATTCGCAATGCCAGCGTAAACAACAGACATGACAAGTATAAGACCAAAATTTATAACAACGAAACTACTTACGGGCAGCGAACGATGATGTTTCTTCTCATAGTTGATATAACAATTCGTCTCCACAAAATTCTTTGCCGTTAAATCTGCAGCGATAGTAGTGTTAGGATTGCAACGAAAATTTGCTTTCTCGTTCAAATCGTACCCGACCCCGATCAAAATCGCACTGAGCACAAATACCACTGCTAAAATGATGCGACCATATTTACTATAACTTTTGGACGATAAAGGAATAAATGGTTGCCAGGAATCCATCTCAGGCGTTTGCTTTGGTAAACTATGTAGGTACGGTTAAGAGCAGTCAGTCCCATAATAATATGTGTTGTATATGCAGCTGGTCTAAGAAGCACTTTGCATAACAATGTCTAAAGGGAAAAAAATGCTGTTCTTTGTTTACTTTACCGATGTCCAACAGCTCTCCGACTCCATGCTCTCCAGTCAATTATTGTTCTTAACTATTTTTAGTTTAACTGCAAAAAGCCTATATTACCATGACTAAAGACCCCATAATTAAATACGCATTCCTGCTGGTAAGTTGTTCATATTGTTTATTATGAATCGTGGTCATTGCATTTTCCAAATATTTGTGTTGAAAATTTCTAGTTTATAATACTCGTACCTAGCTGGACATGGTAATATTGGGTCGGTTAGCTAACATTAAGCATACTAACTGTAAGAAATATTTCACACTGCAACATTGGAAACGTTCGAAAAGATAAACATATATTGCTATTACTAGTGCCAGACTTCTGTCGCCGACGGTCATTAGCCAAAAATATTTGGATTCAATGGCTCTAAATTTTTTTCGTTTTGATGAAATTGAAAATTTCTTTCACTAAAACACTATACTAAATGAGTACTTTCAACAGACTGAAAATCATTTTTTGTCTTACACCTGTTCCTCAGTATGGATGCAACACACCTGCCAACAGAAACTCAGGACGAAACGGAGGAATTTTTGAACCCCCCACCGATGATTAGGTGTCTAACCAATCTCGTACCCAGAGCAATGCCTGTGCGCGGGCTAGGATGGCATCATCCTCGTTCCCAGGGCTTCTCGGCTGCCTGCGTAGCCGAGAAGCCCTGGGAACGAGGATGGGATGGCATTGGCTCTGGGGAAATTGAACTTTTCCTGTGCTGTGATTGGTTTAACGTTTATCAATCGTGCATGCCGACAAAGAACCGGAACCCCTAAATTTAGGGGTTCCGGTTGTCAATTTCCCCAGAGCCAATGCCATCCTAGCCCGCGCACAGGCATTGCTCTGGGTACGAGATTGGTGTGTAACGTACTAGAAATTTGAGCCCCCGCCCAGAGAGCTCCATATATATCTGGAGCGAGAACTCGAGTCCAAAAAGTGAAGCCAAAGTTGGAGCAATCTCGTATATCTCGAAAGGTTCAAGGTGCATGTCCACACCTAACCTGCGAACGGGCATACTGTGGTTACGAGATTGAAAGATGGAAGAGGTTATTTCGCTGGCCTCAGAGTGACAAACGTAACAAAGCAACGGTTTTACTAACACTAACCCTATTCCAAACACCAACTCTAACCCTTACCCTAACCTAACCCTACTCCATGTTTGTTTCTAAACCAATCTTGAAGAAACATGTTTTGACGAAATGTCATTCTGAGGTCAGCGAAATACCTTCTGGAGCTATTGGACGTCAGTTTCAGTCCCTTTTTATTGTTTTTGTCTGCGCTGTCTGCAAGGAGCGTGCCGAAATTTCGTATTTTGACTTCGATTTAAAGATGAACTGATGATAACTTGATTAGCAATACAGTCCGTTAGAAAAACCGGAATTTAGCGAGGAAAAGTGGTAATAGTTGACCTGTATCTAAGGACGAAAGCAGACTTATAATTAATATCATTATCGAGACGTATTATAAGCAAAATCGCTGAATCTTACTGGTTGCCGCTTTTGAATCTGCATGGTTAGGCAAAATACTTGGTTGTTGTTGGTTGCGACTGAACGGGTCTAAATCCTGAATAAATTGAATGTCGATACATGTATGTTAATGCAGGCCTTTCAAACTTATAGCTCCGTCGATCGTATAGTGAATATAGTCATACTCACATACGCAAATATTTCTCGTGGCAAGATTCGAAGAGAAGATGGGTTTCCCACGCTCTTCGCAGACATAGATTGAAGTGTGACTGAATTAGTATATGTAAACAGTTTATTAATTAGTTGATGTTTTGCAGACATTTTGTGTGTTAGCTGGGAACTTTCTTTAATTAACGTTAAGAAGTTTAAAAATCCAATTAATTCTGCCGTGTTTGTAATCGAATTGGGTTCCGAAACATAGAGATTATAAATAACACTAGAGGAGGCATCGAGTTTAAAAATTGGGAACGCAGCTAATGGGAGGCAAATTCAAGTCCCGGATATAAAATCGTGCTCTCATTGGCTGATTTGAAACTCGTCACCAATGAGAACACGAATACACATCCGGGACTTGAATTTGCCCCCCAATAGTCACGTTCCCTTTTTTTTACTGAATTAAGATTACAATGCCTCCTCTAGTGTTATTTATAATCTCTATGTTCCGAAATAGGTAGACTTTCGCAACGTCCTTCGTCTTTGTTTAGAACGAAGGAATTTTAAAGGAAGTAATTTCTTGAAGAGTAAGGAATTTGCGGAAGTCTACGAAATAGGTGAAAATCACGAGAATTCGTAAATTATAAATCGCTTTATTACGCAAAATCGCGGCTTGTGGCACGTAGCAACCGTAACGATGGAGTACCAGACATATATACTACTGTATATGCATGTCCATCGTGTTATACGCGCTTGGAGGTGGAGGAAATTAACGTTTTTGCGAGGTTTAACGGACAACTTTAACACTTGGAATAGTTCAATGTTGGAAGTGCTTACGTCACGCAATTTTCAATCTATCAAAACAGTAGGTATTCGCAATGCAATGTGGGATACATGTGGGTCAAATATTCATTGTCTGCATGACAGTGACGTAAGCACTTCTAAGATCAATTGTGAAGTGACAAACTACAAACTTCGGAACATTTCAAGTAGTCTTTGTTTACCACAACCACGTACTAATAATGTGAAAAAAAAGTTTCGTGTACGACGGAGCACACCTTTGGAATTCTATTCCTAAAGAAATAAGAGAGAGCAAATCCTTTTCTTCCTTTCGAAAGAAAATCACTACTCACATTGATTGATAGCTAATTAACATAGATGTTAATATTACCACCTTAGTATTAGTTCATATAATACTATATATCTTATATAATTTTGTAAATAGTTTTAAAATTCTTTTCTGTATACTTTTCGCACGCCCCTCGTGGAAAATCAGCTTCGGTTGACGGGGTCAGCGTGTTTAATTAAATAAAGTTTATCTATCTATCTATCTATCTATCTATCTATCTATCTATCTATCTATCTATCTATCTATCTATCTATCTAATTGAATTAGCTGTATCGCAACACTAAGTGAGACAACAGAAAACGAGACAACATGATTTTTACATGATTATTTTTCTCTTCAATAGTTGTACAAAATTCATCAACATAACATTTCAATCAATATAAAACAAACATTAGTTATTATGTACACACTCTAGGTTTGGAAATTACCGATTCGCAGACTTGAATCCCCCCGCCGGGATTTTGGGATCATTAGGGAAAAGTTGGGGGGAATTGTTTTACAAGCATACCTTATCTTGTTACAGGTCTGGCGCAATTAATTTACGGTCAAATTACCATTGTTTTCACGCAAAAAGGCTCCAGGAAATATTAAACACCTGTGCTGATGAGCAAGTTTTGCTTCACAAGTTTTCCTTGATAAATTTTACATACTTTTCAACTTTTCCTCAACAAGCTGGGAGCCTTGTTCAAAAGCTGGTCATGCTTTTCAACGAGAAAAAGTTCGTGTGTAGGCCCATCAAGGAAAACTTGACATCTTATTACGCAACATGTCACTGTGCGCTCATTTTTGAGCGGCCATTGCCATTAAGAAGCAGCTTTGAACCGAAATTCTCATGACGTTGTTTACGTACTTAAATAGCAAAGAAAAATTGATCGAAAAAAACTCGTTCGTCACACACACGCGCAAGTAAACTCGTCAAGAAACTTGTCAACGAAAACTTGCCCGTCCTACAGAGCTTAATTGTACTTGTCTGTATACTGTACATGTTAAAAATTCACACTTTAAGTTCTAAAACACGAACATAGGTAAGATAGGTGGTCGTTGATACGTTGATAAAGGGAAGTGAAATAGATTGTTTCCAGATATTTCTATAATAGCGAGGTTCAGATTCGAATAATGCTACCGCGTTACGACTAAGGGACCAATCTTGTCAACTTTTGTATTACATTATTTAAATTCCTAGATCCGATTACTTCAATTGATTAGATTGTTTAGAATTCGAAAAGTTTATTTCACTGTTTACACAATTTTTGTTTGGATATTATAATATACGTATCTATAAAAATTATTTCTTAAATATTCATAGAAAAATATGATGTTATTTACGACTGGTTGAGCTGGCAGGCTCCAAGTCATGACGAATTCGAAGCCAGTGACAACCAAGCTCAGGTTACGAGATCAACAGTATAGTAAAGCTGTAAAATTTGAAATGAATGCTGTCAGATCATTCTCTGTGTGCTTATTAGTTCGGAAATCCATTTATTTACATGAAATTAACAACTACTAATGTGAAAGTTTTTATATATACTGTTGATCTCGTCAAAATCAAGTACATCTACTTACATCATAATATCAATTTATATCAGGTTTAACTTGTATTAGCTTGGCTCTAACACAAATGGGTTGACCATCTTGTGATTAGTTGATTGGTTTTGAGCTTGTTCCATCATAGCCTGCAAGGTACGTGATATATGTACTATTTAAAACACGAGTAGGAGTGTTTTATCAGATATAAAACGCGGATATCAATTAGGACGAACAATTCTATAATAATACTAATTAGAATGAACAATTATATAAAGAATACTAATGAAGATGAGTTTTATCCGATATAAAGACTGACATGGCTGACATGATTTGCCACAAGGTTTATGAATTATTAATGAGTGTTTGAAGGTTATTTAGGGACCGGTCATTAACAGTGGGAGGGGGACGGTGGTTGAGAAAAGGGGGGCGGCTTCAACTATTTCTGCCTGAATTGGGGGCGGCCTCAAACTGAAAAATATGTAACAAGGGGCGTATGGGAAGACCCCAATTTTTTAATACTTTCCTACTCATTTTCAATCTCTCGCCTTTATCGTGTCTCACAAAATATTTCACATTTTTACTTTCTATAATCGTAGTTTCTATAGTTTATTACGTATATGCAGTTCGACCATAGGAGTCAGAGTAAATAACAACCATTTTGAATACTGGTCTTCTAATTATTGTCCCAATCTATATCCCATTACCTATTTTACACCAAAAAATGTAATGAATTAAATGTTGGAAGGGGGTCCTAAATTTTCTAGATGAATGTGGGGGCGTCTTGAAAATAAAGGTCTTGCGATTGGAGCGGCTCTAAAAAATAATAAATATTTGGTGTTTATCACCCACCGCCCCCCCCCCCCTCCAATATTAATGACCGGCCCCTTGGAGCTATGCTTAGAATTTGTGTAAAAGGAATTTTTGATACAGCGGATATAAGCTGTCCAAAATATTGCGGTAACCTACAATCTTTGACAAAAACTATGAGACAAGTGCTGTAATTTCACATAAATTGAAAGGCGTAGAGTCCCCCGTTCTGCCGCCAGTTCAATGTTGGGCCGACAAAAATTTGATGTCTGGTTGCGAGAAGCCAGCATTGAAATCGGTGGGGGAGGGAGGGTGGGAAAATGTTTCAAGAAATGGTATATTGCAACCGAATGCATGTAAAAACTATAGATGTCCAATCTATATTGTCAAAGATGGTAACTTGGGTTACCGCTACCTTAATTTTGTGGTAACCCAATCTGGTTTTCCTTGTTACCCTTTAATAAGCAAGTGCGTCAAAACTCTTTCCTTTAGTACCAGTCCAGTTATAATATAATAATATAGTGCGCTTGTCACAGTTTACATGTTATTTACAGGTCACATACGTTTTACAATACAATAAGCTCACAAAGACAAGTTGTGACAGGAGAAAGGAAGTTGTCCCAATTGACACCTAACTCCCAAAATCAACAGTTGCCGTCAAGGGCCGGGGAAAGGGGGGGGGGATGTGGGCATGTGCCCCCTGTAGCCCTGGGAGCCATCAGAAGAATAAATCATATGCGTATAGAATATGTAATCAAGCTGCGAGAGAATAAAAGGCGATAATCAGAGAGACACTGAAGCAGAACGAACGAACTCGTGTTGAAGTAGAACCGATTAAGGAGTGGTCTACACACTGATAAAATAACTTGATAAAGTAAAACGAAAGAAATATACGTTATCAACGTCGCACTTTACATTATATGGGAAAGGTGGATCTTCAATGATCAAATGCTCTGGTATAGTCTTCAGTGACTTGAGCAATACACTACGTGGGTCTTCAATGATCAAACGCTCTGGTATAATCTTTAGTGACTTGAGCAACATACTCAGCTGTAAACGTGTGAAGACAAAGTTATTTGGAGATCGGTGTAGTGGAATTGAAAGCGGGGACCGTTATCAAAACCCTGGTAAACTTAACGAGCGCTCATTAAATCGGGATTGTCAGGACTAGCTGAAGAAACAACGGGAAGGAACAATTCGCCAAAGGACGCAAGTATCGTAGCTTGAGAGACAGTTCACAACAATAGTATAGGATTTACACTGTACAAATTATAGAAAAATATATTTAAACTTTTTTTTGTATATGAAGTTATATTGCCGACACCCACACAGGCGGATTTAAATTCGTCACAATTGGTGGCAGTGGTGGGATGAATTGTTTATTTTACAAGTGGATGTTTCAGATTATGGTGTAGGAGCCATACTTTGTCAGTTAGATAACGAAGGTCAGGATCACCCTGTTGGGTTTGCCAGTAGGAAGTTACAGCCTAGAGAAATGAAGTTGTCTACAACTGAGAAAGAGTGCTTAGCGATAGTTTGGGCAGTTGAGACATTTAGGTATTATCTGTTTGGAAGAAAATTTATCCTTCAAACGGATCATAACCCTTTAGTTTGGTTAAACCAGGTTAAAAACAAGAATAGGAAATTATTGCGATGGACTTTAACCCTTCAGGAATATGACATCGAATTAGAACATAAGTGTGGAGAGAAGCATGTGAATGTGGATGCGCTTAGTAGAATGCCATAAGATTTCGAAGTGCAGCAACTCGATCGTTCAGTTCCAAGGGAAATTTCGTTTCGTATCTCCCCCTCAGGTACGTTTCCATTCGAATTGTTCTTGTTAACTTTTTGTATTAAAAAAAAGAGAAGTAGGGTGTAAATAATTAGGTATAAAATTTTGGGATCTATTACATACGTAATATGATCTTTGGTGGGAAGGTGTAGCCCTGGAAGCCATTAGAAGAATAAATCATATGCGTATAGAATACGCAATCAAGCTGCGAGAGAATAAAAGGCGATAATCAGAGAGACACTGAAGCAGAACGAACGAACTCGTGTTGAAGTAGAACCGATTAAGGAGTGGTCTACACACTGATAAAATAATTTGATAAAGTAAAACGAAAGAAATATACGTTATCAACGTCGCACTTTACATTATATGGGAAAGGTGGATCTTCAATGATCAAATGCTCTGGTATAGTCTTCAGTGACTTGAGCAATACACTACGTGGGTCTTCAATGATCAAACGCTCTGGTATAATCTTTAGTGACTTGAGCAACATACTCAGCTGTAAACGTGTGAAGACAAAGTTATTTGGAGATCGGTGTAGTGGAATTGAAAGCGGGGACCGTTATCAAAACCCTGGTAAACTCAACGAGCGCTCTGAAAATCGGGATTGTCAGGACTAGCTGAAGAAACAACGGAAAGGAACAACTCGCCAAAGGACGTATCGTAGTTTGAGAGACAGTTCACAACAATAGTATAGGATTTACACTGTACAAATCATAGAAGAATATATTTAAACTTTTTTTGTATATGAAGTTATATTGCCGACACCCACACAGGCGGATTTAAATTCGTCACCCCCCCCCAACTTTTTTTAAAAGTGAAAGAAGGCCCTTTTGGGGGCTAAAGTGGCTCATTCAAAGAACGAAAAAGTATTTCTTGAATGAATGCTCTCTTTTGATGGAAAGGAAGTGCCCTTTTTGCAGTAGTAAAAACTCTGCAAAGGCCATTTCCGACGTAATAGAGACTCCACATTTTCAAAACTTTTCGTTCGGCTCGTGAACGACATAAAATCGTTTGATTTTGGTCATATACAAAAGTCTCCCTTTTCGCCAATGGCCCTCCACTTTCGAAATGCTTCCGCGGCCTCTGGTTACCGTTATTAAATAACGAACTATAAGCAAGGCTTAATCTAGTACTACTGTTAAGAACTACTGTTATTAAGAACCTCAACAGAGGGTCCTGAAGGGGGGTCCCAATCCCATTTTCCACCTGAAATTTTGGCAAAATCCCAGTCCCAGTTGGATTTTTATTAGAAATCCCAGTCCCAGTTATTGAAATCCCAGTCAATAAAAAACCCTTTATTTATTGGTAGAATAAACAGTTTTAAGACCTTTCAAGCAAGTGGCGGACACTTTATGAAATATTAGGGGGGTGCTCGTGCCGAAGGCACGGAAAATTTTTAAATTTGAATCCCGGAAATGGCATTTGCAGCATTCTGAGACACGCATAATCAGAAAACCCAGAATCGCGGGCGCCAGAGTATGCCTGTTCGCAGGTAGCGCTGTGAATAATATAGTTAACAACAAAAATCATGACCAAAGACACCAAAAACGGATCAAAATTGTATTTTAAAATACTCAAAACGCAGAAAAATTGGTAGTCGACTCGCATTACCTCAATCCCATTCCCATTTTTGAGGACTTCATTTCCCATTCCCAGTGGCCAAATCCCAGTCCCAGCAACCCAAATCCCATTTTCCCAGTCTAAAAATAGATCAATCCCAGTTCCCATTTTACCCCTTCAGGACCCTCTCAACAAGTCGGACGAAAGTGCAACGAGGACGGTTAATAATATATACAAGAAAATGAGCAGAAATGAACAATTAAAATCCCACGGACGTTTTCAACGTCGCCGTCGCTCTGTTTACAACGGCAAAATACAGATTATCACGTCTTGTATACAACGCTTACATTTCAAGCTGGAACAACTGCTACTTTCAATTGGGTCCTAGAACTTTTCTCAATCAAATCCTGTGTTAACCTCAATCCTTAAACTGATTATTTCTCATACGATGGTAATAGACGGCAAGTTTTCGTCTGCAATCATTTCGTTCAACGAGTTTTTTGCCGTCGCGTTCCAGTCCTACATGCTTAAAGCTAGAGTTACATGAGCAACAAAATTGCTGCAACTTGCAACAAAATCTGATTTCAACGCATGTTAAGTAGAAATGTCGACACATGTTGTCTTGTGATTTGTAATTTATGTGTAAACATTTTCAATTAACATTTTTGTTGCTCGTGTAACTCCTCCACCTTCCAAGGCCGCTATTATTATTGTACTGGTGAAGATAACAAATTTGACTGAGTATTTGTTGGAATATATTCTAGTTTGGATGATGATATTTTATCTTGTGGTCTAGTTGGTATATTAGAGGCTGATTACATGGGCCGAGTTGTCCCGCTTTGCTGAGTTGTCCCGGCTAAGCGAGTTGACTTTTGAATTGCGATTACATGCACCGCGCTAACTCGGCTATAGCCGGGCTGAAGTAGCTCATTAAGCTTTGTAATGCTTAACAATGTAATACTCGGTGTTAGAAATCGATTAAAAATGGTGTATTTGTTGTATTTGAGAACTACTTTACCCACTGAATGTTGTTGCTTGAGGTACAGTATTTAATTTATAGTTAGCGCTGATCCCAACAGGCTTGTACTGTTTGTATTCTAACAAAATTGTGTCAAACGTTCATTAATATCATTTTGATGTTATTTGAAGTTTTTTAAACTTATATTTGTACGTATAATCGAAATTAAAACATGCATAAGTATGGTTTTCAGCCCGCTTTGCCGAGCCAACTCGGCAAAAAGCGATTGCATAGGATGTGTGGGCAATTTCTGTCCCGGCTAAGCGAGTTGACTCGGCAAGCTACAGCCGCGGTCCCGGCAAGGCGGGACAACTCGTTTGGCATGTAATCGATATGTCAAAATAATAGGAAGCGGGTCAACTCGGCAAAGCGAGTCAACTCGCTTAGCCGGGATAACTCGCCCATGTAATCGGCCCCTTATTTGCGCGTGTGGTCTAGTTGGTTACTTTATGATTTACGCGCACCACAACCTTCAACGGTTTGCATATTTTTTCTGCCCTTGCACGGAAACGAGGTTGTCATTAACATGGCTCTGCAGATTTTATCAAGTTTACCTTGTATTTAAGTAACTCGTTTTCTCTTTCCATGGATCTTTCTAACTCGATTTTCATCTTTTCATAACGGTTATTTAGAATTGATAATTCCTGTTTAATCGTGTACATTTCCTCTTGCTCCTGGGCTCTTGTTACTTGATCCTGAAAGAAAAACATGGTACGTTGTAATATAATGAAAAAAAGATGCTCGTAACGACATAAGACATAATTCAGGGCGAAGGTGGAAAATGTATTTTTCTTTGTACATTGTAGAACCTGGGTTTAGGGCTCAAGATTTTCTGCAAAAGATTACAGTATAATATTATAGGGAACTCGGCATGTTATTTTACCACAGGAGGCCCAGGCTCGATTTGCCCGCGCCCGCCTGTGCCTTCCTTATAACGAGGGAAGGAAGGAAACCAAAATAGCCCAGACTGGCATATGTCACACGAAACTATCCTCGATTTTTCGCCTTTAATGCATTTCTTTCACGATTAATCGATATCCCCTGCAAGAATGATACCGTATAACTCTCAAAACAACGATGCTTTAATCAAAGAGCTTAAATTCGCTATAAAATCCGTGAGGGAATATCAAAATTCGCCCAAAATATATCCGCGTGCCGGGTTTGCTGGACAAAAAGCGGAAGTCGTTGAACAACTCAAAATACACTCAACCCTGATTGGA